CACACGTCCCACACATGGTGTGTCCGCAATTGGAGGTGACCGGGACAGTCATTTTCTCCTCCATGCATAGAGGACACTCCTCATCCTCTTCGTCAGACATGTTGACAACTCAGGGTTGCCGAAACTATCTGGACAAAATTTTAAAAGGGAATAATCCTTCTGTGGACTAAAAATTTTAGGAGGGAAACGGCCCCTGCTCAAATGGACCAAGATGAGCAGGGATTGGCTGAGCTTTTGCTTCTGTGACCTCACATTTTTTTTTCTGTCAGAGATTGTGAGATTGAAATGATGAGAATACCTTCAATGGGCATTGAAAACATGTAAGATTAGTACAACTTCTCTCAAGGACAATGACGACCTTCAGTCAGTGTGTCATTCATTTAATTTTTGTGACCTTCCTGTGATCACTGAAAGTTCCTCACTTTTCGGTATGAGCTCATAGAAATGTCATTGCAAACTTAGCAGAGGAACTTCGGATTATGTATTGTTCACTCGACCTGTCCCTTTTCACTAACAAGATGTTTTGATATTGATTGAGCTCAGAAGTGTTGAACTTACACTTATTATTTTACCAAAGTAAGTTATTTTTTTCTGCTGACTTATGTTGTACGCTTGTACCTTTCTTGAGGATTTTGGATTGTATTTTTCGTTATTTTTTCACATAATGATGTGACGTAAGTTTTTCAATAAAAAAAACCAGCTCGAGCTGAAAAGATTCAGTTCGATATATGACATGTAGCCCTCTCATCAGTTTAAAATTAAGCATTCTCAAATAATTTAAAATGATGATATGAAATACAAATGCACAACTGGACTTAGCAGATTGATTTTATACCGAGTTGTTTTTTTAACTCCCCGTCGAATTATTCACCTGCGCGTTTTATATTTTTTTTTTAATGCAAGCTGCACAAAAAAAGTTCTCACTCACTGAGAATTATCTGCAAAAAGCGCCTGTATTTCAATTTCCTACTGCAAAAATCGGGGATTCCCGGGATAAATTTTATTTCCGGGAAGCAATAAAATCGATTACAAATTCACAAATGTATTAAAACTACGAAAAATATATGTGAAAAATGCGAGAAACGAGGAATTTCTCCGTTCCAAAGGAGGGATGAACCAGCAGATTTCTGTCGTCGGCGGGAAATCAAGGAAATAATGAAAAAACTAGCTCCACGTCACTGGCCCTCATTCCCTCGTCACATCGAATCGACATGTCTAAGAAAGAAAAAAAAAGCGAGACAGACAGAGAGAAACAGAGCGGCTTTCTCACGTCTTTGTCATCGTCAGCAGTGTCGATCCACCCACAGTCAAGTCATTCAGTTGAAAGCCAAGTCGTGAGTCAGTCAGTCAGTCAGTCAGTGAAGTCAAATAATTAATTTGTGTCGAACGACGACGAGGATGAAAGGTGAAAATTATTCTTTGGACGACAGTGTTGTGGTGAATTTGCGGTCGGTGTCAGCGATCGTCATCACTGACTTCGACGGTAACCGGATTGCGTCCCGGTGTTATGTGGGGAATTCAGCGGAAGTGACGGGGCTGGAGCGGAAGTTGAGAACGTTCCGGAAGGAGTCTCTCGTGGTTTTGGACGACCACGTTTGCTTGCTGGACTCGTGTTCTGACCTCAAAATTTT